TGCTCGCTCTCCTACCTCCGACCCCAATCTGTACATCCCTGAATCCGGTTCCTGTTGGCTGCGCTGTCCGGTCCGGGACGTCCGGGTGCCTGCCCTGCTGTGGCAGGGGGCGGGGCCTCGGGGGGCGGCGCCCCGCAGAGGGCCTCTGGGGGCTGCGGCCTGAGGCCTGCGATCCCCCACCGTCATCGGGACATTCAGGATCGGTTTTGTATACTTTTCCTTATTTCCACTAGTAGTAGTACCAGTATTAATACCTTATACTATTTTCCATTATTACTGTATTATTAAAGTAGTTTTAATTTCCAATCCATAAGTCTCTCTCCCTTTTCTCCGTCCTTTCCCCTCCCAGGAGGAGGGAGGGCGTTAACAGAGAGCATCTGCTGCCCGTTTTAAGAGCCAGCCCAGCCTTAAACGGTGACAATATGCCATCTTTCCCTCTTATTTTTGTATCCAATTAGAAGAAATGTATGGTGAGCAGAGGACAAAAATGCTTTGGCTGCCAAAGCAAAATGAGTTGATACATTTTCTAGTTCCCTGGGGACATGTCCACATGACGAATCATGAGCATCTAATCATATTAGGCAAGTAAAGTGTGTTATATTATCAAAGAGAAAAACAGCAATTCACTGCTAAAGATTTACTGCTCTAGTTTAGTACATTTTACAGATCCAGCAAAGAGATGAAAATTAGAAATGCAGTCTCAGGACTTGCAGTCCAGCTGCTCTAGAACTCCAGTGCCAGCTCTTGCCATCATCCTATCACATTTGGAAATAACTGTATTACCGATAGCTTATGGTACAATGCAAGCTAATAACCATTTACCTTACCTTTATTGCCATCTTAACACGTGTCAAGAACACATCTTTCTTTACGCTTACCCTGGGTGGATATATTCTCAGACAAAAAGCAACAACAAAATTAAAGAAAAACAAACAATTTTTGCATGGGCCTAAAGAGGTAAGTTCAGCCTAGATCAGACTAGGATGAACTGGAAAGGCTCTGTTCTCTATCTGTCTAAAAACTGAACTAAAAAGTTCTGCAAATACAATGTTTCTGACTTCCCACATTAACACACGTACTACTAAACAAAAAGGGCTGATAAATTGTCCAGATGTCCAAGATATTACCGATGAAAAAAGCAAAGTTATAGAAAGTATTTAAATTCAAATTCTTTGTTCAACAATAAAAATGCCAGGTGTTCTCTTCGCTGACTACTGAGAGGCTCAATTATTTGAACCGGTATTCAAGAAGGCAGAAGGGATTTTAAATTCTATTTTAGAGAGCAGCAATAACACCAAAGGAGACACTGGAATCCAGGTGCCAGAAACTTAGCCTTAAGCCTGAAGAAAGGAATTTGCATGACAGGATGCATGGAAAGCACTAAGAGCTTAACAAAAGAAAAGAATTTTATGAAAGAAAGTAGATTATTTTTTTTAAACTATCCCTTCCTCTAAATGAATATATTTATCAGTCCTTTCAAAAACATTTGAAATTGAAACTTACTGGTTGGTGAAATAATTGCCAACTTGCAGCCATGTTTGTAGCCAGGATCTACTCCCATCAAAGTACGGCCCCTCACAGGGCTGGTCAGAAGCAACTGCCGGAGATTTCTCCCAAACATCATCACAGACTCTTTCTCTGCATCAGATGTCAACTTTGATCTTAGAAGAATGAAAGCAAAAAACATTTTCCCCTCAATTAGCTTTCAAATGCACTTCTGAATTGCTTCAAAGTTGTAAGGCCTTTTCCAATCATGTTTTCATTATCTTTAATCAAATATTACACTTCCAATCAAGTTTTTGACACTTTTAAAAAAAGGATCAGCTATACAGTCATCTCATTCCGGTTCTAAGAAAGTAAATCAACATAAAGAGCATAATATAAACACCGATAAGAATGTACACATACCAACTAACATTCAAACATCAACTCACAATTTTGAGCGAAGAACAGTTTCCCATCAAAGTTGATACCTAATTGCACAGAAAAGTGGATTTGAAGAAGTCATAGATCGACTTCATCGTAACTTCCTAGTTCTGGAGAAAAATCACTACCCAGCAAGAAAAGGATGATCATTTAGGCTGAGAGGATCTAGAAAGAAACTGGAAGAGCCTATCCAATTAATTGCTAACACATCATGACTCATGAGGCATGTAAACTTGTCTATGAATTGTGTTATTGACAGTCATCACAGAAGTCTGTAGACTTGAGGTCTTTCTAGGAGGGTACTCTGCTTCCTCAGAACCAAACTAGAAAGCTGATGGGGCCATGATGTTCCTTTCCTTTCCATGTTCTTCAACAGAAAGAAGTGAGTCAGTGCAGCAAGGATTGACTTTGATGACTAGGCAAGAACACTGTTATGCAAAACAAATCAGTCTTGTTGAGTGAAAGTGTACAAGACACATGATGTCTTATTTGTCAGATGCAGCCAATAAGACAATGACTGATAAGGACAAGTATTTTTGTCATGGCATGGCATCTTATATAAAAAAAAGCAAAATTGAAGGAGTAATGAGGACACAAACATTCATCACCTAGCTGATTTTTTTTTCTTTTACAAGTACTCATTGCCGTTTTCAGCTGCATTACATTGTCAATAACTCCAATAATGAGGCAAGCAAAAGCAATCCAATAAAGCCTTCATATAACTTAAACAGTAGCCAGAGTCCTTATTCTCCTTTTCCTTTTACCCATCACTGAAAAAGGTAATATCTAGGTTTATTTTTATAGAAGGAAAAACCTGCATTCCAGTTAACTAACCTTATAAGAATGGGGCAGGGGAAATTACTCAAGTTGTTTAAATCAATCAATGCATGACACAAGCAGGCTACAAACAGTTCAAAGACAACCCTCATAAGGGCTATTTGACATGACAGGATATGGAGCTGTTCTGAACAATTTTCAGATCCAAACAGACAAACAGCTCAGCCCTGTCTCATCCCATAGTGGTACAGAAAGAGTTGGTAAGTCCTCACCATCCCTCATTTGTAAAATGGTCTACTGATAGGTCTAGATTCTCTTTCACACATTATTGATTGAACATTTTCTAAGGAAGTGTACAACAGCAAAAGGCCCCCTTATGTCCCCAGACTTTTTGTTTCTGTATCACATATGCCAAAAATTAAAACAGACATGACTAAGTGAGATGGCGAAGGGCATACATGCATTCCAAGACTCCTTAGCAATTCACATGTACCCTCAGCACCAAAGAGCAGACACTCTGTATATTGTCACCACTAAAAACAAGAATATGGGAATGGCTGCACTAGTTCAGGTAAGTGGTCCCTCTATCCCAGTATCCTGTCTCCAAGTGTGGCTACAAGCAGCTGCCTAGGGAGCAGATACAGCAGCACTAGTGTACCTGTCCTATAATCTTATCCTAGCCTCTATTTCCAGCTCAGAGTATTTCCTGAGCTTGACGTGATTTGTCTCTTTAGTAGCCCATACCAGATCTCTTGTCCAACTATCCAGTCTCCTACCAAACCCATGCACATTTCTTGCATCCACAACTCGCTGTTGATAGCGAGTTCTGCAGGTCCATCACGAACTGTGCAAACAGCTGCCACCTTTTGGTTAGAAGCTGATTCTTTTTAACTTTTATGGTCCCCTAGGTCTTATACTGGAAGAGAGTAAAACTTTATCCCTAAACACCCTGTGCCGCTCCTCACACCCCATTCACCTCTAAGTCCTCTCTTTTCCAAGCTGAAGTGTCATAGCCTAGTCAATCCTTATTCACACAGAAACTGTTTCATACCTTGTTGCCCTTCACTGGGCCTTTTCCAGTTCTAATGCATCCTCTTACTACTTCGCCCCACACCCCTGAGGTGAGGGGATCAAAATGGCCAATAATATTCCAAATACAGGTCAACTAAATCAATGATTCTCTGCCTTGCCTTTATTCCTTAACTAAATAATCTTATCTTCTGAGCACTTAACATTTATGTGGAGCTACCTTCTACAGTGCCAAAGTGTCTTTCCTGTGTCAGGATAGCTCAAAGCTCATAATTTTCTATATAAAGAAAGAATTACTTCCCCTCGCAAGCATCATTTTACACTCATCTCCACTGAATTTCAGTTGCCATTTCACTTCCTGATTGTTCACTCTTGACGCATCTTTCTCCTGTTCTCAAATAATTAAACAAAAATAACCTAAACCACAGAACGAGCTTCTTCTAGGGAGAGTCCAGGGACAGAACAATTTGATGCTACTTATCAGAGACCAGAAAAAATAAAGCAAATACCTAGGCCTCACAGCCATATGGATCTTCTACATACACACACAACAGATATTCAGCCAGTCATACGTACATACAAATGAAGTTTCAAAGTGGCTTGTAAACAAGGGAAGGTTGAATGTTTTCGGATTGGAGGCTTACAGAGACAGGCCAAGTTCCACTTTCCATCTATCCCAGAGATACAGGGTCCCTATTGCCCACAAAGCCAAGTCCTCCCACACTGCAAATTCACATCAGTCCACCTGTGAAGGGAGACTTGTACAGGAATTAAAATTGCCTCTAAACACATGCTATTAGTTATGTGCACCTTATGGAAATCATGTTTAAAATTGGCATGGATATACAGAAACTTTTATAGTAACAGGAAATGTCACTGAAAGCGCCAGGTGCGTAGGGGGAACATAACGTATGTCCTTTCTATTACATAATATCCTGTATTTTTAATTTCAAATATAGACCTCTCTTTTCTCTCTAACTGTCTCTCACTCAACACTTGTATCAACGACATGATCTACTGTCCTAAGTACTGGCCCTTAATTTCAAGTTTGGGATAGTCACTTGATCCTTGAAAAAATACCAAGCTACCTCAAACAATCTAATATCTTTTTCTTTTTTCAGTGCACTACAGGCTTCATCCAAATGGCAAGATGTCCAACTTCATGCTTTTCCAATTTGTGACAATTCTTATTAGTATGGTGCAGATACAAGGTAGAGGCGGATAGCATTCCTCCTCTCTAAACAAAAGATGAATGGTTATTTTGTATAAAACCAAACAAAACCCTTCAGTTGCTACTTTATGAAAAAGTATCAACCACATCAGAATTTCAAGCCCCTCCCTTAAAGTCTATAAAGCACTAACAGGTATACTAACAGGTATATTGTAATAAAAGCAAATAACCTAATCATGACCTACCAGCTTCTATATTCAATATTGCAAGAGTCAGTTTTTAAATTGATATTTAAAACTCCCCACTTCCATCTACAGTCTGAGGGGCAATCCTTTCCGTGGAAAAATATCTGCAAACTAGCTTCAGGTGCGAAACAAGATATACAGAGAAATGTTTGTGTCCCTGAGGACAGAGGAGAGAAAGCACTCACTTAGAGAAAGCATGGAAAATTAGGAAAGGATTATCCATTAAAACAATATGTCCATGCCACATCACTTGCATCAAATCCTGATGGAATCATTCCACGCAGTACTGCAACAAGATAAAATCTATTTCAAAGAGCCAAAAGCAACACTGGACATTATTATACCAGATACAAGAAATGATGGTATCTGACAGAGTGGAAGAAAGGAAATTAAACAATAAATAAGGTAACTGTCTTGCTGGCAAGTTTCATTCTTCTGATCACTAGAAGCACCAGAAATTTCAATACACTCTTGGAAACTTTCTGTTCCAACATTTAATGATAATAAAAAGAAAAAAAGAACAGTGGGGGGGTGGGTTGGAAATATTAATGCTTAAAGTACGTATTGAATACTTTAGCAGCCCTTTGCAAGAGTCCTAAAAATGAGCTTCTCGTGTGGGCGGAAAGCAAATAAGAGAAGGATAAGGGTTAAGTGGTCATAGGCTAGGAATACTACTGGCAGGTGCTTTGCATTCCTCTCTATAGGCCATGTTTCAGCTTTTCCTAACCAGATATCACCAATCATGCAAAATTATCACAGAGTAAAACATAAGCAGACATCCACTCAGGAACAGGCAGCAAGCTTTTTATTCTTTGCGTTTACAACTTGTGAGCTACATCTAGGAAGTAGTAAGGAAGGAAACTTTAATTAAGAGAACAAAAAACCATCAGCAACCTACTGCTGCAGCAGCCCTCAGTGTTAACACACGGGCCACAACAGTCCTGTGGTAGGAACCACAAAGCAAAAACACAATAGAAGAGCCTTGAGGAACCCCATTAATGGTAATATCAAACCCCACTAAAAAGTAAGTATTTTTTCTTTATTTTAAAAGAGTTTGATTGTAGAGAAGGTTTGGAATCACAATTACTTTCACACTCAGGTGACAGAACCAACAACTGGGCTCATCATCAAGGGATATTCATCATTTTGGCCAAACAATAGACACAGTGCCTCCCTCAAAGTAGCTACATGTACTGTGGTCACAAAAAAAAGTGAACTCAACACTTTAAAAATAATCTGTGAAATTCACAGTAGCAAAAAACAGGCTCACTAATCAAAAGAGGTGAAGCAATCTTGCTTGCAAAGTAATGAGCAAACACAACATACTGTAGTGAAGACACATAAAAGCCATTAGAAATACGTGCTGTTCAAAACTGCTGACAGTTCTTTTCAGAGGGGAAGAACGTAGAACATCCAGCCAATGATGCTTGTGAAAAGAAGTGCCAGGAAAACAACTCCAATTGGAACAGAAACACAAGAGCACAGCCCGGCAGGTACAGAAGAACTACATTTCAGAATGTGATTTTAGGTACTAAATAACCAAGATGTCATTCTGATATGAGTCATTTCAACATTTCTGGTCCAAGAACCAGGGTCTCTTTCATAAACTCCATTTGAACTGCCTTAAAACAAGTATTAAAATCTAGGTCACATATCAGAAAGCCTTGCCAGAATCAAACATATTATGCTCTGGGGAGCTTCTCTTATATTCGAGAGAAGAATCACACCATCAGTACTGTTAGCCATTAGAATATAACACTTTTAGAATGTCGACTTTTTGACATATTAAATAATTTCAATTATGTAGTAAACTCCTATACTACACCATGAAAATAGGATATTTCATTAATGTTACTTTGATACGAAGTTTTAAATTTCCTTTTAATATAGAACAATATTACAGATCTTACCAGTACACTTTGATGACATCATCAGTATCACCAGAAATAAGTTTACTGACTTTTCTAGACACATCACAATACTCGCAAAATGGTATCAGACTAATCCTATAACTAAGTCATTCACCACAAAGTGCAGATGACAAACATGAGGGACACTTCCAACCACAACAATTACTTTGCTGGTTGCTTTCAGACAGATAAAAGAGAAGGAGTCAGAACAATGTCACTGACAGTACTAGTGCTGTGATATGAAGTGATGCTGGGAAAATTCAGTGAGATAATGGTTTATGCTAACAGAAACATAAAGAGAAAACTGTTATGGTAATGTACATCTAAACCGTACTTTATTAGATAATGTACAAGAAACAAATATGTAAACATGCAAAATGTCTTCACAGAAAGATCATTTCTCTGCTGTAGCCTAAACTGGATAGGGTCACAAATTAAATCTACAGAACCAAGACTACATAGTTCATTTCTGTAAGCACAGAGGATTAAAAACATGCTGATATTTTCAAACGGGTAGAAGACATTCTAGTAAAAACTCAAGGAGGGAATTCTTAAGAAATTGGTAGTATGAAGATACGCATTCGTTCTGGGCTTACCTGAATTCTCTACAGAGGAGAGGATATATAAGGCGTTTATATGCATCTTCCACTGAATTCCGTAGTAGCCTCATTAATTCTGGTTTTAAAAATTGTTTTGGCCTCCATCTGCAAAAGATTAGAAAAAGAAAAACCCAAAAAATACTTTAACAGCATATGCAAAAACTCAGCTAAAAAGGAAATTTTCTAAAAAAAGACTCCTATATTGAGTGTAATGTCCTATAAACTGCAGAATTACTACAATAATTAGGCAATGAAATCATAGCTTCAAATATGAACAGAATGAGAAGTTGCTCATAGTTCTACTATCAGACAAGGCCTATCTTTTCTTTCATTAGTATTTTATGTTTTAAAGAAAACACAAAAAATGTTACTCTTCACTTTGAGAAGTCAAAGCTTACCATAACTGAATGAAGAACTTAGTTCCGTATTACCATTAGGGTTGTGTTATTTGCTATTCCTCAATAGATAAAAAAAATGACTCAACATCCTCTGTAAGTGTCACTGCAGTTACTGATGTAAGGCAACCGTGTCCAGACAGAAATTCAAGAACTAAACTAACATCAATTAATGAAACCCAATTCAAATTTCATTTGGAATGCTTTGAGTATCTCTATTCAAATTCAAAATGAAATTTGCAGCAGTCCTTAAACAACAAAATCCAAACAATTTGCAAATGTTTTTTCTCTTTTACCTGTTACTGATATATTTAAATCGTAAATAATATTCTAGAAAAGGGGAAAATGAAATAAACAATACTAAACAAACACAAGACTATTTCCCAGCTTTTTCTAAGCTGAACTTTTGAAGCATTCCCTTTTCTAAGAAGAGTGTATACAGTGGTCATAGCCATAACGACAATTACTTAAATTTTGTCCTAAAATACACAACAGTTTCAAAGCCCCCAGAACAGAGATCCCAGATATTTATTCCATTGATCTTTTTATTTTGAGCAATTTTAGTGGTGGGGTGGAGGGAGTCCTTGACCCAGCACAACTGACTCACTGAGACCGTCTACCCAACAAAAAGGGAGAATGGTTGAGGAGGCATAGCCAGATATATTATACTCAAACAGAAGTAAAGACTACAAACATTTTCTATTACAATTTCCTTGTTTTTTATTTCTTTTTAAAATATTGATACCTGACAGTTTTCTTCATTTAGTGTATTTTTTTTTTACATGCCTGGGTCCCTAACTGCAAAGTGAGATACTTACATATATTTGAATATGTCTGGTTAAGTTTTTCAAGTTTTTTTGTTTGGCCAGTTATTTTTTTATTTAAATGCAGCATGATAGAATTATGGCCATTTGATAATGTGTCCAGGTGCAGGCCCAGGCAAAAACAGGACTGAATTTTACTTTTGACTTGGTTTATCTGCACTCACTCAGAAATAGTGAGAATCCTAAATTGCTCCTACCCAGACAGCTTTTCTGTTATTTAAAGGGATCTACAATTTCCTGAAACAGCTTTTCTAAGTGTCTGTGCATATAATAGTTGAGAAATGTGTGATCAAGTCAACACTGCATTAACGTAGACAGACATGGGAGCAGAATTAAGCTTACCATTTAGTTTTACAACATTCAGAGTTGTGAGTGCTTAGCCGCATGACCTCACCACCTCGCTAACAGTTTTTGCAAATAGTTCTATTATACTTATTTGTAACTAGAGACTCTTTCCATACCTATCTAAAACTGGCAAAGGCTTTAAACCCTCTTATTGCCATCCAATTCTATAAACATGAAGTTTTTACAGGTGGCAAGTATGACTGCACTCCCCCAGAAAGTATCCTCAGCACAAATAAGAATGAATTTGGAAATGTGGCAGCTGTTTCCCCCTCTCTTACATCCATTAAAACTAGTTAGCAAACGTTTCCTCTGTAAATAGGTTATCACAGCAGATATTTTTATTGCCTGCCTATATAGAAGTAAAAATTATTTAGGCAACATTATATTAGAAATTGCTACAAATGCAAAAATATCCAAACAGTAAGTTCAATCATAGCAAATACTGCATTTTAATAATTCCAATACTTCCTGAGAAAAGAGAAAAATCCACTTTGCTGGAAAAAACAAAGCAAAAGCATGTGTGTATATTTTCAAAGATCACTGCAGCCTAGTTAAGCTTTCCTCTAAGAACAGATTTTTCTTGATTATTTAATCAAGAGCTGACTTTTGAAGCCCTTTAAATGAAGCCCTATTTAGAAAAGCTCCATATAAATAATATCATCTTATTCTGCTCATCAGCTCTCCATGTGCATGTGCTCACAGCAAGGACCACCATAAGCATAAATGGCTTAGACTACTGATACAACTCAGAGGATGAAACTCTACATCAACAGAATTAATTTAGCCCATATTAAAAACCACTAGTATTAATTAATGACTGTTCCAGGAAGAGCACGGCTAGGCTTTTAAATCAGAAGCACAAAAAGCAGAGCTTTGTTTTCCTCCAAGACACTATATGAAACAGGTACCAAGTTGGTAACCCCAGACAAAGCATGTTTTTAAGGCCTGTACCATGGACTTCACACAGCATCTGAGAATTTTGCCTGGAAACTGAAAAAAGATTATCAAACACTGAAGTTCATTTTCAGGGCTGCAATCCTACTTTGGAACAAACTCTCGCCCTTTCCCGAGAAACAACTCCATGGTGTCTTTACACTCAAAACCAGCTAAGCAGCCCCTCTCCGCCTGTTTCTCACTGATCCTTTTTCCATGTCCGACTTCACAACTGTCTTTGGAACCAGTGCAGTTCTAGTGTTAATGGAACTAGGTTCGCTGTCAAACCACAGAGATGACATTTTCTGGGGAAAAATATAATCCATAGGGCCAGGCATAAGGATATTCCTGAGTTTTCATCACAAACCCAAATTTCAAGGAAATACAGATACTTCTACAGGGTACTAAATATCTGAACTTGCAAAGAAAATACAGTAATCTCAGAGAGCATCTACACAGAGCTCAATGCAGTAATGAAGAACTCTAGTCTTCCAAACCCACTTCCCATCACAGGGGCATTTAATGCTAAAAAGTTCACCTCAGAAGAATAGGTAAAGGTCTGCTACTAATTCAATAGGCAGTAGGTGATACTGTTTTGTGGCTTGAATACTGGCCAAACTCCGTAGCAAGGTGGCATTTCTGGTTGTGCAACTGATTTTGTGTGTGACCTCCAGCAAATTAGTTAATACCTTCACAAAGTTTTGAAATCCTTACCTCAAAAGTTCTTAACTTCCTGCTCTGACCAGTAAATCAATGCAATGAAAATAATGCAACTCCCACCCTTGGACAGTCATTACTGAGCTTGCAGGGCAGAATACACATTTACTGTTTGTCAGTTTGATAACACAGTTGTCAATCTAATGAGGAAGATCGGAATCTGTCCTAGATGTTAATGCACCAAGATCTACTAAAATCATTCCTTTGAAAGTCTTCTGATGGTAGAGAAGTTGTCCTTAAATAGTAAAAAGCCATAAGCATATATGGCCTTATGAATGCTAAGTATTAATAAGTAGTTCCATTCCCAAGGTCAATATTCTTTTTATCTCAGGATGACTCACAAAAGTGTAATCAACCAAAAATATCTCAATTTACATCCCACTTTCATTTGTGTAGCAGTGACAAGCTGTTCCATTATCTATGGCTCACAGTACTTCCAAATTCCATCACAGACGCAGTAAAAGCAAGGTAGACAGATATGTTCAGCCTACAGAATATATATCTTGGGGGAAGCATAGAAACTCTGTTACAGGTATTAAAACTAGAATAAATCTTAGGTGTGTTTATGAATCCTGATACTTTCCTGAAAAAAAAAAAAAAAAGTTACTTACTGTTAAGTCCTAGATCATATTATGTTATCTGGCCAAACAATATTTTAGCTCTTTCAGAGGCTTCTGTGTTGGAAGCAGAACTATTAAGTTCGTACAGTGAAAAGGAACATTTTACTACATCCCTTTCTTGGACTTGGTATGGGAGAAAAAAATACATGCTAAAGTGCTATCACAGTATACAATTTTATACACTTAAAAAGTGCATATTTTCCTATCTTTTTTCCTCCTTTTGGTTATTCAATTTTAGGATGCAAAGGTAGATGTTTCTAAGACATCCTCAGAACAATGCCCAATATCTCAAACTATTGAGAAAGAAAAACTTGGCTTTTATACATGCAAGGAAGATGCACAGTTTGGATCACAATATTCTCCAACAGAGGACATCAAGGCACAGTTTCCAGGAAAAAGACTGACAGATATATTGCACAAAACAACATATATTTAACCTAAACTTTTGCAAAAAAAAAAAAAAAAAAGAGTCAAAATTATGTAACACTAAACATCTCACTACAGGCTTAAAAAAAGCAACTTGTAAGAGCAGAACAGCAAGAAATAAAAGAATCACCCAAAATTTCAAACCTAGATTTCTAACTTAACCAAAGATCAAAACGCAAGAGTCAGGTCACAGGACATTTGAGAATCATGGATTGAAGACAGCCACGTTTAGGTTCGTCTATTAAATCCAACACATTTTTTTAAACATGCCATTCCTTACATTTGTGAAACTCAAAGTTATGTACTTTACTGATCTAAAAATCTGAGGTATCCCTCTTTAATCATTGTAACCAGGCATATGAAGCTATTTTCAGAAGTTAGAAGTATATTCTATTGGATTCTACAAATTCCATTCAGTAAAGACTATTGGATGGGATGCATATCACAATTTCTAAATATGTTCACATCTCATCAGCCTTCACATATTTTTTTTTTAAAATTCAATAGCTTGAAGAACAGTGCCAGAACTCCCCAAATACAGCCAAAGGCAAGATCTTTTCAGCATAATGCTACAGCAGTTGGAAATACAGCATAAGAATTATCCACTTGCTAATTTCATCTAATCTAATAAGTATTCATTTAAATTGTTCTCTTAATGTAATGAGACATGTAAGGTACATTTCAGTATGCAGCTGTCTATAGAAAAAAAGAGATTTCTGTAAGAATATGTATCTATGCAGACCTTTCATTGACACACCACCAACAGAATTCATTCTTCACCCCGTCAGGAATGTTGACCTTCACTGTCAGGATCTTCAGATTTTCCCCTCGGTTAATGGCCAGAATCTGAGTGCAAACATAAATGGCAGAGACAGATGACACACAAAATATCCAAAAGATAAACTTATCAACATTGTGTATGCACTTGCTTGACATTCTGTAGCAAATCATGATGGTGGTACAGTAAATCAGTTCACAAAGTACTAGCATGTACAGATAACATCCACAATTTAAACATAGATTAAATCATGCTGTGGCATAACAAATCATACATTTTTTCCTGGAGTCTACAATCTCAAGATACAGTTTATCTTAAATGCACTTATAAGACAAGTCAGCATGAATTTAGTTGGTGGAATAATATTGTTCAATAACCCAAATTAAAACTCAAGAAATTAATCGAAAAGTTATTCTAATCAGTACGGGAGAAAGTTAGTCCTATGCTTCAGGCTTCATTTTTCTTCCCAAGATCAATCCAAATTTAAAATTACGATTCAGAACTTGTGACACAAAGGTAATCGGCTTATTTTGAAAGAGGATGAATTTAGAATTAGTCATGTCTAGTGCACAAATAGCAGAAAATATTGTAGATACACTCTTTACATTGATATTAGCACTCCAGTCTTAAAACGTATGCACATATTTCTGGCACAGTCTTGTGTACACAACTGCATATTCATGATCTAAAGCTAAATCTGGTTGCACACACGCTATGTGCATACAGACTTCAATTTTAAACAGAAGTCTGAGGCTCTATGTTTAAAACCAGGATCACAATACAAGTGGTGGATCCTGGAGGATCCTGGTGGGTATCTACTATCCAATCTCACTATGAAGCGCTTGAATGTTCACCTGAAGCAGGCCTTATAATATTAAGAAAACTCACTGGCCGAGGGATTTTAAAAACAGGATAATAGTTAGAAGCAGCTACAAATAAGAGCCACACATTTTTAGATTTCATTTTCCCTTCCAAAACACTTTAAAGTGCAAAAATAAAAAAAAACCTGCTAGAAGTTGACATTCCTGTATGACTACACATGTTGCTGTATGTAGCAGGCCCTGAGCACTGTCACAACAGAGCATTCTATGTCAATCATGAACTTTAATTCAATCACTAGCTAACTCAGACATGTCACATATGTTAAATACAATGGTTTAAAATGACTCCAGGACATAGTACCAATTTATATTCCTCAGCCTTACTGCTCCTGTGACATACCAGGCCTGACATATCATTGAACAACAAGGCTAATAATAAAGATTGCATGTGAAATATTATAGCATCTGGTACCTTGACTGCCAAAGCAAATGTTTTCATATAGAGATTAGAAAGACACATTTTAACAAATCAAATGCTTTCACGTTTATTCTGATTTTATTTTTTTAAGAAAGAGAAAGTTAAATGTCAAGCTAAAATGAAATCAAAAATGATGCTCGCGACAGAGAATGTATCTGAGAGAATTATAATGTCATCATTCAGCACGCTGTTAGCAGGGTCACTATTTGCATCACATTTTGTTTCCTGGAACTCCATCTGCAGAATGTTTCAGTCACCTGAACTCAAACCAGCTGTATTACAGTCACTAATATCATTTACATTTTTATTTTTAAACAATCTGCCTATCCTGTTTTAAGTGACATGCATTCAGAGAAGAACTGTCATCCAAGAAATGTTCAATTAACAAAGTTATAAGTCAATTTCTCCCTCTAATATAATAGAGGTAATTTTGGTGGTTTTGTTTGTTTGGTTTGGCATTTGTTTTGGGTTTTTTTTAAGTAACAGTTAAAATCTGGCTATTCTAGACACAAAGCAATCTTTCAGTTCTGGAAAAACACTGTTTTTATGTAAGACTGGGACAGATCCAGGGGAAGGGTTAATAAAAGCAACATAAATTTTTTGGAGAAAACAAGAACAATAATTTGATCTAGTCACGAGATTCAAACCTTATTTTGTTTATCAGAAAAATACAACATCCTTCATTTCGCACAGCTCTCTTCTATGTTGCAGATTTATTTAGACTCACTGAATAAGTTTTGTATATTTTGCCAAGGACTTTAATTTCCAATTCCTTTTTAAGTATGAGATTGAAAATAGAGCACTTGCCTCGAACATTACACTTTATTCATGAATTCTTTTCCTCCCACCAATTCAGTCATCTCCAAATAGAGGAAAGCAACCCCAAGGCATACACAAACACTGAACTGTTTATGATTAGTCAAAAAATTCAAATAAACTCTAGAAAGATTTTTTTTCCTTAGTTATGACAGTGTTGGTATAGCTACCCAACTACATCCTAAGACAGTCCAGTCAGGTTCTCCTTGCTGCCAAAGGAAGGAACTGTGGCTGAACCTCCTGACAGCGAAATGTTCCAGTTGGAAACACCCACAGGTATCCAACCATGTCAAAATCTGGAGTCAGGCTTTTTAAACAAGTAAGTTGGCTTCCCTCCCCCCCCCTCCCCGGCATTTCAGGTTCAGTATTTTAACTTTTAACTTTTTCAGTCCAACCACTTGACTCCACGCAAGTTGTGATTATTTCATGGCATGTCTCAACACCCAAAATGACAACGGTACAAAAAGTAACCCAGAATTACAGCGTGTGTGCTGGTAGCTGCAGAACCAAGCTGCAGCTTACTGCACACCAGTTCGCCTCATTGTAACACACGCTGCAAGGGACACTCATGGCTACCAAGGCTTTGGTCATAAAGACACAGCTTATTCTCGTACAGGTAACATGCTAGTCTACTGCCCGTCCCCTTTATTCTACGTGTAAGCTACAGCAGAGTTAGGGTTGTACACAGACCTTTAAGATTACCAGCACTTCCCTACTCAGGTGATGACCAGTTTCAGTGCAGTATTTTATGGAATCCTTTATTTGCAATTCTGCTAAGAGGTGATTTAAAGCTGACTTCTACTTTTGCCTCTAGCTAAACACTTTGAGAACACTCATCTATGTGCAGTCACAACAGGAGTAGAGAAGGTCTTCAAAACAGTGAATTTTGCAAGTGTTCTTCAAACACAGCTATTTAACCTGCAGCCCTGAGGGATTAGTAAATTTTATAAATCCCTCTGAGCTTCAGTTTTTTTTCCTACACCTTTTTTAGGTATAAGCTTCTTTTAAAAATCCTGAACCAAACCAGAGAATTTCTTCACATACAGATATCTACACCTCTCCCAAAGCACATCCAAGAACATATTTTTAACCAGCTTTTTGAATGCAGAAAAATATTTTTTCCAAAGTCTTAGGTGATGGAGAAACTAAAGACTCTTAGGTAGTAAAAAGGATGGTTATAACCCAAGAAAATAAAAGACAAAAAAAATGGTAATTTGCATCATTAGGGTAGTAAGGTCAGGTAATAAAGAAATTGAAGGTTATAAGAAAGACTTTCGAAAGCACAATACTAGAGTTTAAGCTTAAGGAAGAAATGGCAGATAAAGAAAACCTTTTTTCTTTCCTTATTTCATCATCAAAACACAAAAGGGAGACAAAGAAAGGAACTAGAAAACTAACAATGAATGAAAAGTCAACAGAAGTGAGAAGTTACAGTATTTTTACAAAACAGGGAACTCTGCAAACCACACGTCAGATGACAATAAAATGCATTTTTTCCTTGACTAATACAAAAGAGCCCTGACATACCTTGGGTCCTGAAACCTCAATGAAGCACAAACAATCCAGGCTCTTAAGACTCATAATAGAGAAACATTCAATGTGTTAGAATAGTCAATAGCAGTAATATACAGATGTAAGACAACATGTAAGAGTGCAAAAACATCCCATGATTACAGAACCACCAGCTGCAAGTACAGCAGTTATTACTTCACCAGAGAGCCAGAATGGGAAAAGAAAGAGGTTAGTGACAGACACAAGGAGAAATAAACCAAAACAGATTGAGTAAATCTTAACATCAAACAGACAAACTAAGGACACATCCTGGATAAGAAACAGTGCAGCTACACGGTCAGAGTGCTGATGAGGTTTGGGAAATCTGGTTTCTAGCCCTGGCTCTAGCTAAGCAACAGTTTTCCTTACTTAAAACAGACAAAGGTGATGCCTTGGAGAAGAAGTAAATCATACCATCATCCCAGGAAACATTTGTACACCCAATATACATTGCATATCTTGGTATTCACCACTCTCAGTGCAGGAAAAACTAAACAGTCTTTGACAGCCAAGGTATTCATTCAACTGTAAAGCACCCGAACAAACGAAAAAATCAATACAGCACAACACTTAATCTCCTGATGAATCTACAAGTCTTTGTGGTATGTCACCACAGCAGTCTTAGAATGCTCTACTGACTTTTCCATATCCTCCAGAAGCAAGTTTTCACCAAATAATTCCTGATATAAATACAGGAAACGTTCATACTTATCACAAAGAGAACAAGCACAGGTACTTGTTCAAACATCTACAGAAGGCCTGTCTATTAAAAATCACTTATAGTTATTTAGTATTTCACCTAACATCATCCATACTGGAAGAGGGGGTGGGGAGAAGAGGGTTTAAAATTAGCCCATACATGTTGTGAAATATTTTTTGTAATAAATTAATTTCAAGACATACAAGAAAATCTTTTATTCATTCAAAATACCACACTTAAAATAGCAAGCAGAGAAAAAAAATGAGAGCATATCATAGGTATAAAAGGAAAATCATTCTGCTGTAGAATAAGGCAGCCTTCTAAAGGAAAAGGACATAGAATCATTATGGTTGGAAGAGACCCTAAAGATCAAGTCCAACCATATACCCAATGCCACCATGGCCACTAAACCATGTCCTGAAGACATTTCTGGTTTGAAGCAGCTAAGAGGGTCTTTTTTGTGTGTTTATTTGGTTTGGGTTTTGGGTTTTGTTTTGGGGGGTTTTTTGTTTGTTTGCGGTTTTGTTGGTGGTGGGGTTTTGTTTGGTTTTTTGTTGGTTTTGTGTTGGTTTTTTGTTTTTGTTTTTTTTAAGCTAGATAATTGTGACCAAAACAAGAGACAATTCACTGAGTGATTAGTTATGGATCAGTGCAAAAGTCTTGACAGTTGCATTGAGTGCATCACACTTCAGCCTTTGAACTTCAGTAACAGGGGCAGCCTAGCTATCAAGTCATCAGCTTCTCATTAGCTAGTAAGTTCGCTTCATCCCTCATTTCTTTTTCTAGTCATATAGGTCTAGGCTTGGGGCTTAGGATAACCAAAAGATGCTTCACAGAAAGGAATACTGATGACTTACAAAATAAACCTGTTTTTGGGGCAGTGCATGAGATGTTCCCCTGAGCTGCTTTTGTAGGTCACCTTCAATTTCATTTTTCTGGATTCTTCCCTGATACTTCTCACCAGTTTCACCTGACATGTTTAGTGTCAAATGGCTCATATCGCTCTTACTCAGTGCTGCGGCAAACATCCAAAAGAAACAAAGAATAAGTTTATCCAAGTTTTTTTTTCAAATCCTTACACTCCAACCAAGCAGCTTCCACTACTATGCCACTACTACCCCAGTCTCACCCTTACAGACCATGAATTATTGCTTAGCCTTTACCCCCTCCTGGTAACACTTGCTACGCACTTGTCACTGCAGGGAGGGAGGGAATAACACATGCTGAAAATAAATCACACCAGTATTGAAATCTCTGATACATATAAATAATTATAAAAATTTGTTTATTGAGAATTAATTAGACAATGGGCATACTGAATAAGCACTCTTTCAAGAATTTGAAAGCGTCTATTACCTCTGACAACTGAAAAGCAAAATCAAGTATCTTTAGAACCAGTTTTAAGCAACAAAATTCAAAAGCAAAGCCATGCTGCTATAGTTAAAATTCTAAGAAAAAAAAAAACAAACAAATTTGTAGTTGTACCTGATGATGCTGAATGTTCTTTATATTACAAGAAAACTCATGGTACAGTTGGAATTTATTGATATCTTTTTCATTTCCACTTTTGGACGACACTTTTGCCAAGGCTGACTGGATACAAATGTACCTTTGCTGACATCTGAATAAAAGAAATAAATGTTAGTAAGATGTTTTAGCATGAAACTTAACAAGTCATTAGTGTTTGCCTTAAATAAAAATGAAGTTTGTATTCTGCCCAATTACAAATATTGTTAACCCTAATTACCTGCAGAACTGTATTACATACCTTAATGCTGAGACTGACATAACACATAGTGACTGGAACATATCCAGAGAAGAAATTCAAGCAGACCTCAGAAAAAGCCAAACACAGCCCTTCTCCTGAAGAGGATGGATACTTAAAAGCCACCATCTGCACTTCAGTTTGGTCAGCTATTGGTTCAATTTCACAAAACAAATTTTGGGAAGTTGCAAAAAAGTTATAGTAGTTATCTATTTTATAGAAATGCAACATCTCTCTTGGATCTACCCAGTCTCAGAATTATTTTCTTGCTTTGAGTGCTTAACACCTATAAAAGCTTTCATTATTTTTAGGAGTAACAGGGATACCAAACAGATAGCTTCCTGAATGCTCCTCATGATTATTATACATACAACACACTTTAGATCAACAGGATACATCTTTAAAGCACTGCGTACGGATTAAGGAGATTCTAGCAGTCGAAAGAATGAAAGTGATAGTCTGGTAGTGACAGTACATCCTTTACAAAACAACCCCTTCATTGAAATTATCACATTGCTGTGCTCTAGCCTTTTGATGAAGTTGGCCATTAGTCACAATAAACAGCAAACAAGGGTTAAGTGAAGAGAACCGAGCTGATTCAAACTGACACTGCATGCTCCTAAGGAAGCACCTGTTCTTTGATAGCCCTGTCTCTGTCTCAGATAGTACACAGTGGGGGGGGGGCGCGGAACAAACACCAAATAACTATTACTGTCCCACCAGCCCTAGGACATGACAACCTTGAAGTCATGTGATGTCAGAAAACTTAAATTTAGATAACACAGTCAAAGGATCAGTAACTCCTGCACTAAAAACAGTCATATTTGTCTGCCTTATTGACTACCAATGCCAAAATCAACCATCACTGCACACTAATTACACTGACTAGTGTCAAGCAGTAACCAGGCAAGTTTAGAAAGTAAAAGTCAAACTTACAATTTCCTGATAAAATCCAGTGTATCTTTATCTTTAGCAAAGATGTCAGCTAAAATATGCTGTACTCCAGCCTCTACTTCCTGGATAGTTGAAAGTCCTTAGAAGAAAAAACAGTTAATAATTATAAAGAGCCTAATATGAAAAATTACTTTACACAATTGCATAAGCACTAAGAAAATATACAGAAGCTAAAAGAAAATTGATACAAGATATCCGACTGATTTGCAGAGGTTTCAATGAAGAATCCTAATTCATTCAAATTTTTTTTAACTAAGTTTCCTTTCCAAAACATCTGAAACCATTATATTTTTAATGAGCCTAAAGTGACCAATGCAGTATAAGTCAAAATGACATTAAAATGAGAGAAAAATAAAGATTTTACTCTGATGCCAATAGATCTTGACATTTGTGATGCAAATGAATTATTTACAATAGTAAAACTGGATATTCAAGTATAATTTTTGAGGTTGTAATAAAATGAGTAATTGCAGCAGAATTTTACACATTTTGCTACTGATACGGAAACTGCCTAAAATCTTTGCAGGCAAACCTGTCTTTTCTCTGTGTAATAGCTTTATATTTTCACTGGTTTGTAGCAGGAGTTTCCACAGTGACACTTCTGAGGTCAGGGTACTCTCATTCTCCCCCACTAAACACTGTTCAAACAGTAAAGTTACAAAATGTCTCCACAAAGTATTCTAGAGAGCTGATAGAATCATTCACTTTTCCAACAGACAGCACCATCCCTCACTTCAAAAGACCAGAAGAGGTGGCATAGTATTCTCCCTAGCACAGCAGTTGAATTGGGCCAGAACCAGAAGGTAATAAAATAAAATGAACATCTTGTATTTTAAATCAATATATCTAACTCTGTGTCTAGCAACAGTCAGTAACAAGTGCTTCACAGCAAAAAGCAAGAATCCTAGAGTTGGCAGATGCAGCATTAACTGTCTCCTTCAACACATGTTATTTTTCACTCTGCTGTCTGATGGACTACCAATACCTTGAAAGAGCTTTATTACATCATTTTAAAAAAACTGCATTGTTCTAATAACTAATACTTGTATTGAATTCAGAATCCTGCTTCTGTTTGGGCTATAAGAGTTACACACTATAAAAAAATATAACCTTCCCATTTTTAAGAAAAGGGGAAGCTAAACTTACCTGCCAGAAAGAAAAATAAAAACATGAGAATAAGAATACATTATTAAATGCCTGAACTGATCAGAAGTTGTGAAATTTGGATCCTTACATCTATGACTTAGTGCTTCTTATGGTAAAAGCAAATGTCATATCAGAATACAAAGCTAAGGGAAATATAAGACATGCATGATATTGAATATGAATGATATTGAATATGGACACTGAAATACCAGAAGTGTACTTTAATTCTACCAGAAAATTTGCGTGAGATAAAATAGGCCAAAACCAGTCAGGATTAAAGAAATAGTCAAAAAATTCCCATCCAACTAGCACCACTCACATGGGCATTTTACTGTGTCCATTGCAGAAACAACACATGCTTGTGTAATTAGAGAAATATTTGACCATGCATACAACTAAAAGGAAGAACACAGTTTTCTGGTGAACCTGCTTGCTTAACTTTCAAATATCTGGCTTTGAAACATGAACTGCTGTTTTCATTTCAGTTTACTTTTAGTACAAGTTTAAAAACACTGAGAATTTAAAAGAACTGAATATTAACATTTGATGAAAACTTTTCTGTAAGGCAAATGGCTCATTAGTTTTCAAAAAAAAAAATTCACTCTGATCTCAAGCTGCATATAGGTTGTCAAACTGGCTCCCAAGTTGATAAAAGTGACCCAGTTCATAGACTTATGTAATTTCTGAGGCACCTTTCAAATGAAAACCATTATATAAACCTAAGCAACATTATTTTTAGCACAAAATTGAAAATAGGTGTGCTAATTTAAAAAAACAAACAAACAAACAAAAAACCCCCAAAACTGTAATGTTTACACTGCAACAAATAGCACTGCCTTCTGAATTCATCCTAAATAATTTATTTCAGCTTTCACCATGAAGATTTTCTTTTGGCTCTTTCAACTCTGCCAGAATAGTCAGATACGTGGTTGCAATATACTCCTGTATGAGGTAACGACATATGCTAAAATGCAGTAATTAAACAATCAGAATATTTGGTAATTGATCAGTTAGGATCATTTTATAAACAACATTTAAGTAAAATAAAAGAACAACTGAAGTCACAAGAGTAAGAGTCAGTCTCACAAAGGAGGTTCAGTACCTTTATGTTAAAATTCAAAAAGTAAGTGTTGGGGCAGGGAAGAATAGAAGTACATCTATATTTTAACACCATACAGAAGGTTGCAGCAATCTTTGTATTTTACTGTCAGAGATTGCCCCCTACAGATTCACCCATAACTGCATTCACAAAGAAACACAATTCTGCAGTCCGTATGCAACAATCATATCGTTAAAGTTCCTGCTCAAATTTCAGAGATTACATCTTCTCCAAACCCTACAGTCATTCAGTAACAAGAACTTTCCCACTCACTCCCAAGGCCAATTTTTATTAAGATACGCTACGATGGGTGACATCTACTTCAGTACAGAATACGAGCATAAGCCTCTTGTACAACCAGTGTTAAATCTTCAGTAAACAATTCAAGGAAGAGTAGAATCATGAAGATGTCTCAGGTCTGTGCTGCAGTTCCCTCTCTCTTATCAGCAAATACAATGTCAACTATAACGTCTCCAGACTTCTCTCTCGTGTATACCAGAATTATGACTATTTACAATACAAAAAGACAGGAAAGGTTGGAGACCCATGGCATTAAATGTAAACTCTTGCCACAAATTTTTAAAAGAACTGTTGAATTTAAAATAGTTGCATAACTTCCAGCAATGTTAGAACAATTAAAGTAATGTCCCTTTTAAAATATTTTCAGATGTTTAGGACATTACTGCTCATAGAAGCAGAGCACTTACCTTTGGTATTGGGTCTGATGTAAGAAAAGAGATTGAGTTCCATAGGATTCTGCAGGAGGGAGAGAGCAGCAGGTTCTAATCCCAGCTGCTTGGCCCTCTGGGCTTTGGTGCCTTTACTCCCAGTTTTATAAGGTGCAGTCTTAAAACAAAGAAAACCCACAGTTATTAAAAGGCAAGGAAATATTTCAGTCATGCTATGTACTTTGCATTATGCATTATTTAGTTACTAAAGATTACAATTAAACTAAGGATGATCTGAAAAAGACTAGTGTACTGACCACATGGTCTAATTCTTCCAAAGTTCTGCAATTTAATAATGCTGTTAAAAGGCATCCAGATAATTTCCCTTCTTTCTTCAACTTCTGTATCATTGTATGCGTCTTCTTCGCAACAGTACTAAAATGCAAGAGATTGATATTAACAGTCACGTTTCACAGTGTATTAAAAAGGCTATTGATTGTGACCTTGTTTATAACACTGCTGGAGCTCTGAAAACCCCTGAAGATTGTATCTCATGCTAATCCTCAACAAACCAAGTCTGATAATCCAAAAGAGTTTCTAACTATTACTCTCTTGCTCCAATTAGTTCAAAACTGTATCAAAATATCTTGTTATAGCCTTAAGAAAAATCATCAAACAATACTAATAGTCATTACTGCTATATACATTTTTGTAAGATTACTGGCCTGGAAGCCAAATAAAAAGGCTCTAAGTTAAATCCATGTTGATGAGCACTTACAGCTGTAATTCATAACAAGACAGTTCTGCAGCATTAAATACAGGGTACCTGATTTTTGACTCTTAGACCAATAAGATACCTGTGAGCAACTGCAAGCAGCAAAGGTATTTTGTTATGATTTAAATTACTTGTTCAGACAAGAACTCTCTCAGGCCACCTTCCCTCTTTGAAAAGAATCTCTTGCTAGGGGATAGCAGGGAGTATGAGGAGGAAGACATTATCTTGACAGAACAACTGGCAAGCCTGTTCCTTTGCAATCTCAAGAATGTACAGCTACCCAAAAGGAAGAAGAAATGACAGCAGTCTCATCTACCACTGCAGCGGTCTTTGCTGATCATTTCTTTGCTGCAATGGTCTGAGACAGTTCAGCCTGCCCTCCTGGTACACTAAAATCTCAAGTAGTGCTCTTCACTAGAGGCTTTGCTGCTCTAAGCAGGGAGCCAAGGGATTCTTAGTGATTCTTCTTCTAAGAGTGCAGCTTACATCTAATCAGGCTACATATTTCCAGAACCTATAAACTAGTCTTTTAAAGAGTTTTTTCTCTGCAGTTTTAGTAAACTGCAGAGAAACTAAGATCTTAATTTTTCTTTGGCAATTAATAATGCTAGATTTCTTGTTACTTACAGTAAAAAAAAAAAACAAACAAAAAACAAAAACAAACAGACAGGTATCAAGCATAGTTACCTCAGTTTTAAACTTTCTTCTTTACGAGTTCCTTTGTAATTGTAGTGTGTACAAAGTGGCAAAACAAGGGATATGGAAGCAGCAGCCAGTTGTTACTTGCCCCCCCACCAGACACTTCCCTGTATTAACTTACCGTAGCTCTTCCAATGTTTGCTGCACTTCTCGCAAGGCATCAGCCTCCAGATTATTGATGAGCTCTTTTCGATACCGAGCAATAAAAGGAATTGTGTTTTCTTCTTGAAAGAGGCGAATTAGGTTTGCGCATACCCATGGTTCAACATTTGTTATTTCTGACAAGGCCTGTCAGAAGCAAAACAAACAAACAAACAGACCCACAACATTTAAGAGAGGCAATAAATTGCTTTAAGCAGCCTCCCACTCAACATTCAAAACCACTGCCAAGATATTGTGCTGGCCTGCAAGGACTACTGTCCTCCCCAAGGCAGGTTGCCTGGCTTTCTGTGCAACCAGCCACCACACCCAGTACTTCAGAAAGACATGCAGCAACCAATGTTTCAAGAAACTTGTAACTACAAGAAAAAAGTGCAGAAGGAGTGCTTCTCTTGAGAATAGAAAAAAAAAAAAACAACCAAAAAAAATAATCAGAAAGACAACAAACTGCACATGGCAATTAAGAAAACTTGGAAGTTTTGGGGTTTTTAAAACAACACTGACATATCTTATGGTTAAACAAAACAAACAAAACCCACAAACCCAATCCAAATCCCACTCCACCGATACGTGGAAACTAGCATGATATTAGTAAAGGTTTCAAAATGAACCAAGCCTCAGAAAATTAAACATGATTTTGCACAAATTGGGCTTTCTAACAATAGAGTTACAGTGTACCAATACGGAATCAAGGACAAACTATACAAGTACCTTAGCTCAGTAACATTTTAACTATTACAGTTTGTTTGTACTTCGCTACAGTTACTCCCATAGACAGCTGATAGAAAAGCTTTATTCTGAAACTTAAAGATGTAACAACTCCTGTACAATCATATCCACTGGTTTCAGAGCAGCAATACATGAAGATCAAGTTCTCCATTGGCATTTCCAGGAATATTTTAGAAGACTCAGGAACAAAATTTCATGCCTTTCTTAAGCAGGCAGTACTAAGGGTGATGAATAGAATGTGCCCAATCTATTCCCAATCTGTTCATATTAAAATCTTCCATAACCACACCCAACCTTCCAGAACAGGAGCTATCCTAAAACTGTCTTCACCTGAACAGCTTCAAAGTTAACATCCTACAAAAACAAAGATGGTATCTCCCTTGATGTCACTGTTGTTCCAAAAATACAATCTCCTTCTTGGTGGTACTGTAAATTGAAATATACTCTCAAATGAGTCTCTACAATGAAACAATCCACACTAGCTAAATCTTAAATTCTGAAACTCTGCACGCAGACATCCCAAATCTTTCAGCAACTCTTCCTGCAGGAGTTTCAGTTGACTATATCCACAAAAAAACCTATGTGCTGATACAAAAGAAACGTGCAAACTGTTACAGGCAAGCTTTGTACTAAGGACTGCCAAAGTCGCAAATATTAAAATAAATATTAAAGTTTGAAGTTTTAACAGTTACCAACCAACATTTATATTTATACATGTACTATGACAATTTAAGCAGAGGTTAAATGACTACTTAACAGGACAATGACTCTCTGACACTCCAACTGATGCCAAGTGGACTGAAATCATGTTAAGATTTAAGTGCTAATTATGTAGGAAATAGTTTCATTGATACCTCAGAAAAGGAAAAGATCTCATACCTGTACAATATCCCAGTTCATCTCAAATTCTTCTTTTACTTTGTTGCCTCCCAGATTTTTAACTGGCTTTCCTTCAGGACATGTAGACGACTTAATCTTTTTAAAAGGTGGTTCATCAAATGCAAAATCCTCCTCAGATTTCTCATGTTTCACTTGATATCCCACTACAGGTACGCTTGTTGAGGGTTTTTCATCACTCTCTAAACTCTTTACATTCTTCCCTTGGAATGAATTTATTTCCGTTTTTTTAGGCACTTCTGGCTTTTGATTTAAAGTTTTTTGTTTAGTGCCTACATCTTCTTCCTCAGGTTTTAGAAGCTGCATTCTATTATCTTCTGCAGGAGCAATAGGCAAGGATACATCCTGCCAAAAAGGCATTGAAGCAATATTAAGCGTTAACTGTCACAACCTGGTTCAACATTTCCACTAAAACCTAGGAAGACTTGATACCAGACATCATTTTCCCAAGTGATGTCCCTGTCTGGCAGGGAAATGCCAAGCCAGAAATCAAGTAACCTGAAATACATCTTGCATGGAGAAAAAGATACAAACACTCCCAGCAGAACTGTGATTTAAAAGATCAAATAAAATTATCCTGGAAAGACTTTAATTAGGCTCCCCAGAAGACACTGACCTACAGTCCTTGCCTCCACTCATTTCAAAAAAACAAGGAAGAGCAGGGCAGGGAAGCACTCTTCTGAGGTGTTAGGTGCAGCATGGGAACTGGAACTGAGATTTGGTCTGCCAAGATATAGTGGACAAGCCACACCTTCTTTCCTGAATTTCCCCAGAGATCATTTTCAGAAGCCAGAAGGATTGGCTTCTGTCATGACTTGACCTCTGATGTTAATCTTTGACAGAAATAATTAATTTTTGATAGAAGTGCATCTTACATTTATCATAATAAAACTGCGATCCTTACTGGATCAAACAGCCATACAAGGAAACATAAGTACAGGCTTTCTTTTTGTTATGGTACCCAGCTGGTGAAAAGGTAGAAGACATCAAATGTGCAACACAGAAACCAGAGATATTAGAGGGTTTAGTTTTCATTACAGGAAGAAGAACAGAGGTATATATTTATTTTTGTCATTGAAAGAGATCTCCAGGGAAAACTATGTCCCAGTATCATTGGCCAAAATTTAAAAGGAGGCCCCTTAGATCTGGGACACTTAAATATGTAGGAAAGCCACGTTTATCAAACATACTGAATATTCACAGTAACAGAGGAATCAGATGAGCTGATCAGACTCAGGCAACCAAGTGAACCAGAGTTGGAAAAATTCTGCTCATGTTACTTGCAAACCACAGTAACTGAATTTCTCTTGCTTAGAGATACTCACTATTTCCTCTTTTATTGCTACCTTCTTGACCTTTTTCCTGGCCACAGCTGATCGTGGAGCAGCAACTTTTTTAGTTTTTGCCTCATTTTTCTTTGGCAACCGAGGTCTCTTGGCGACTTTGCTTTTTGGCTCCCACTCCTCCTCTTCCTCCTCTGATTCAGAGCTCCTGAAAAACAAATGAGTGAACAACATTGCTCATGAGAATCATAAAAAAAATACATAAGCAAGCCAGTCTGAATGTTTTCTGACATGAAAGAAAGCGAACAGGAAACACGAACAGAAAGGTAGGCAGACTCAACAAATACAGGTCTTTCATGCTGTTGCAGAGCTAACCGCTGGAAAAATTTACCAAGTTTTCCTGAAGCTGGTCACTGGCATGTGTACACACCTGATTCTGTTTGAACAACTGGCAATTCAGTTTCACCCTATCTTCACTGTGAGCATGAAGCAGCATGGGTAATTTGTGTTTTATAATTGAAGTTTTGTGCATTAAAACTTTTTAATCAGCCTCTCAGAAACTGAGAGGTGATCTTACACAATCACTCATGCTTAGCATAAACCTTTAAAAAAATCCTAAGGAAAAAAGTAATCTTACGAATTAAGAAACGAAGGTAGCTCATCATCTTCTGATGTCAGGGCTTTGGCTTCAGATTTCACCCTCCTTCGTAGAGATGACATCTGAAACAGAGGTGAGAAGAGAGAAATAGAATATTTGGTTGAAGCTGTATTCTCTTATTCAGCCCTTTAACTCACCGCCAAGTGTGTCCTCATAATGTCTTCACCAATCACAAAAGTTTCCTCTACAGCAAGTTTGGATTTCTTATTATCCAAGATTTAGGCCACAGCAGCACACACTGAACAATCCTTTCCACTGAGCAAACAGACAAACGGACATGACAGCCTCTCAAATTATTTTTCTCTTCAAATGGAGGCAATTATTTGCCTTGCATGTAAAGCTATCCCAGCAAAAAGAGTACTGGTTCTGAGAGATATTATTGGGTGTCACTTACATACTACACCAGTCTTTCCTTCATCAATCTAAGAAGCACAGAAAATAAAATTAATAACTAGTAAAGCAAGCTTGCGGTTTTGGTGGGAACAGGACTATAAGAAGGCTGTCTATTTTGATTTAGAATTTCACCTTTAAAGACTATCTGTTGCTTGTATGCATAATAAAAACAATGATTTTGAAAGAGCTGCTCATTAGCATATAGAAAGTGCATAAAACAATTGCTAAAGGTAAAAAGGGAAGGCATAGACTTTCTCCTGACCCGAGATTCATACCTACAATAACTGCATTTCAGTTAATCAGTTGCAGAATTTTTCACAATGGTAGGGCCAATGAATTTTAATAATCTCATTTGGCACTTTTAGTCAGAGAATTTTAGGTACTGTCAAAGTCTTACCTGCCAGAAAATTAAAACTGAAAAAAAAAAAACCCACACCACACAAACACCAACCCATAAAGCATTTCTGTAACTATAAAATTCATAAACGTATTTTACCTCTATCTGGCACAATTTCATCATTCTTCACATTCTGTTCTCCAACTTTTTGCACCTTGACCATTGATCCAGGCTTACCACTGTGATGCGAGCCTTAAAGTCCCATGTTTGCACGTACAAACTGGACAAGCATTTTGCAAAGTGTCATTTAACTCAAGGGCAAAACACTCTTTAATGGAACTTCATTCTGGCCTCTGTTCAAGCACTAGAAGCATAATTATCGTTGTAAATGGCGTTCAGCAAGTTTTCCTTGTAAAGTAGAACCAGAATTTAAGTGACCATTTTCAGCACCGCAGCAGAAAGGCTACTGAGGCCCATATCAAATAGCACTAGCTATTATCTTGCTTGCAAAACGCCTTCATGAAGCAATCGTCATGGTGAGCATTTCTGTGCCATTCCACTGAGCAAAACCCCATTCCGTGACTAGTTAGAATACACGTTTACCACGGGAAAACAGAAATCTCTACAGAATACAAAAAATATTACTCACCTTATTAGCTTCCCAGATGTCTTTTCACTGTCAGTTCTGAGACATTTGCAACTTCATCCAGGCACTCTGCTTCTCCGTTTTCCTTTGCTCTTTATACCTGAACGGTCATTATCACAGTCCCGAATTATTTATTTATTTATTCATATTACCTCAGAGGCATGAAAATGATGTTTTCATTTTATGTTGTACTTTAATCTGTGAATGGGAGAAACAAAAAGCATTATTGATGTTTCCAACACTAAGATTTCCAGAACTACATAACATCTGAGCCAGATGGATCTCCGACTCATTTTTTGCAGGCACTGGGATACTTTTCACATGGTTAGGTACCACAGTTCTCTCTGTGGGTTTTCTTCAAACTAGGTGTTTAGCTTACAATATCATTATCGGTCATCCTTCTTCAGATAATCCAACTAGGTGGGTATTTTTCAGTATTCCAGGCAATTCTGGAAGCCAGTGATCAGTTTTTAAAACACTCTAACCAGTTTCTTCCTTGCTATGATTCAATGAGTAACTACGAAGAGGGAAAAAGGAGACACACACGTTCTCTCACCTGAGGTCAGCATTCCCCTTAGGTAACACCGCTCTCTAAACTTCCTTGCCAGTTTTGGACACTAAGCATATCACCATGATAGTTTTGGGGCCTACCCAAAAGCCCAGGTAAAAGGAAAGCCCCATCTTGAAGGTTTTTTTGTTAATATTTCCCTCTCACCTCAGCTGGTCAAAGGCAAGGTTTCAAAATATCTCAATATTTGTACATTACATTAAGTAAGATTATAGCAAGAGTAAAGCTTACTCTATAAAGTTAATTGTACTTCCTGCCATCCAACACTGGTGACAGATTTAACTCTTCATATCAGCATAAGAATAGGAGATAAGCTCCTTGGTTTATGAAACCAAGCCTTTTCCACATTCTTCACGAACAGATTAGTATTTGCTCCTACATCCTTAAGTCTGAGTCTACTTGTCTTCATATAATGCACTGAATGAAGCAGAATTGCCATATAGCAAATATAAAAATGGCATAGGAAAGCATGAAATAGAATAGGAAGTGATATGTAATAAGCCTAAGCCTTTATGGGACACTTCAATGTTTGTATTTTTTTTTCCTTTTATTTCTTGGATTTTTCACTTCAAAAAAAATCATTAGATTGTCTTTTAAGTGTTTGTTGCAGTCCTTCAGAAAGCTGGAGAGGAATCAGACATGTCTGATCCAGAAGATCAAAGATAAAACCAGCACAGAATCTGTCCTCTGTTCCACTCATCAATATTGTGTCAGTTCTTACAAGCACATAGTGAGTTGGGACTGACATCAGATACATAACTCCAACTTTAATAATATTATTAATCTACTAAATTTTCTTGAGAAGAGTGGTAACTTTGTTCCTAAAGGTTTTTGTACCTGCACTTGAAGTTAATTTGAACTAAGGTAAGATGTGAATTTAAAGCACAAAACTTATTTCAGAATAACTCTCCATGAACAGATAAGCCATGGTCAGAAGCCAAAACGGAGTTCTACAGCTCAAAATAAAAGTCCAATATCAAAAAGCATCTGTGAGGTGAATATCAAACATGGGGTATCATAAAGGAAAAAAGAAGTCACAATATTTCATTGTGAGGTGGGGCCAAGGTATAACCACCTGCCCTTCTGATAATGTATACACCAAACTAACTGTACTTCATATTTGTAGGAGAATCTTACAGTTGCTACATATATTCTTTTTGTTTACAAAGAATCATTTTTTTATTCAAACACACAAAAGTACTTCTGATTTGATTCCAAATTGCCAGACAGCTGTCTGCTAAATTTTCCTCCTGAGCTGCCTGCACTAGGGTCTGCTAACACCTACAGTTAATGACTAAGAAAAACAGTCCTCCTGTGATTCACTGTGGAGGGGGAGGTAGGGAAGAGGACGATAAAGCAACGAGTCTAAATGCCACTGATGATGATGAATAACTATTACAGAACTGTTTTAAAAAAGCTTAGAGACAGTCCCTGAAGTGAGGTAGAAAGACTCAAGAAACGGGCAAACATAGTTATGCTCCACATGGGGCACTGACTACATGACAAGGCAATCAAACAAGCTATTGCCTGCTCCGTGCTCTGCTTCTAGAAGGATATGGTCACCCATGTCCCCTGCCTCAGGTGCCGACGAATCTTGGAAGAGCTTTATTCACCCTCCCACAGCATGTTGGGATCAACACGGTGTGAAGTTGGCCACTTATCTCCTATTATATTTTCCAAATAGAGTGGCCTCAGTGGGAAAAGGACCTTTACCTCTTCTTTCTGTCACCCCCAGGTAACCATACTCAATGAGAGCTGGGTTTTTTACCCTGAGGAAAGAAACTATAGCTTGCATAGATCTATGTACCCTTCCCAAATCCAGAAAAGTCCCATAGCTGTAGAAGAGTCAATTACAAAGCTGAAAAATTGAGGGTAACCAATTTATACCGGAGTCAGGTCAGCGCAAACTTTTTTCCTTTCCTGTGTCTGTGTTCAATGTTGCTGTACCTTATCGCAGGTGCTCACAGCGCTTGGCATCTCCTGTACTTATCACCTGAAGGAAATGAACACGCAGCATCCAGTGATGTGCACAAGTTATCCAGCTATCCCGTGCAGGATTTCACTGGCTTGCCAACTGGCACACTGAACTCTTATAAGTTCTTACTCTGTTCTAGCAGCTCTCTTCACATCTGAGGCCAGCAAACTTCCAAGTAACGTTTGCTAACACAGTTTTTCTTACTTTATGTATGTTGTCGGAAATTTTACTCTAATTTTAAAAAATGTTGGTTTTTGAGAAAGAACTCTTAAAAATCATATCACCAACAGTATTTTGCTTCCATGACAGGCAACATGAGCTAGGCCCTGGAAATTCTGGCCTTGCCCACATACTTAAGCTCCCAACTCCTGTTTCATTTCAGATCTGTCCACGTATGATCTTTTGCTTCTGTGTGATAGGTTGAAACCTTAACGCTGAACCTTCCCACTAGACCCTGGATCCCCTATTCAAGGGAACCAAAACTCTTCTGCTTGTCCAGCTCCCAAATGACAGCAGGCAGCATGAAACATCGCTTGAAACACCCAAATTCTCTTTGCCTCACACACTTGCTAGTCACTAAAGCCTTGCTTCTCCACAAAACCCAAAACAGTTACAGCATGTTCTTCAAAAGTACTTTCCACTTAAAAAAGAAAGAGGACTTTGCAGAGCTGTTACACCGTCCAGTGAAGAAGAGTTGAAGTTATTTAAATCATTGCTATTGTAGATAAATATATCTCGCAGGTCTACTCTCCAAATAGTTTAGCATTAGTTTTGTTGCCAGTTCTTTTGTTCCATCACTTTTATTCTCTGCATCCAATGCAGAGTTTCACAACGCACTAGAGCTACCCTGATGGCTGTAAATAGCACACTTCTCCCTGCCTGTCAGTTACTTATTTTAATAAGGCTACTGTATCTTGGTGCTGGGCCACACCAGGAATGAAGAAGAGTGACAGAGTAGCTCTTATTACATTTCACTATACAGAATCTTAATGTGGGTATGCACAAAACATAGAGCAAGGAAGTAATCATTGTTCTGCTCTCTCTCCCCAAGTAGTTGTTCTAGACTGCATGTAGAATATAAGTAGATTGAGGCTTTAAAGGCCTTATTATGTTAAAGAGCAATCCAAGTCTCATTTAGAGACT